CTAATTTAGTCATTTTTTTTCCAACTTTTCACTGTTTTGGCTACTTTTTCCCAGATTAGCAGCTCCTTATCTTCACAAGGTGGAAAAAATGACTAAATTAGCCTGAAAAAGCAAATAGTTCCTGGCACGCGCTGCGGCCCGTTGACGACCGCCCTAATCAACTGCCCGGATGACGAGGGTACTATGCGGTGCCGCGACTGATCAGTAGCGGGGTACAACTATGTGGCCTAGCACCTCTCTGGAAAGTACCCCCCCCCCCTAAGACAACTTCAGAAGTCAAAAACGAAAATGGAAACCGTGAAAATGTTTCCTCACTAGATCTGTGTCTCTTCGTGTCAACGGTACTGGGAGAAAAAACTTGGAGGTAGTGAGCCTGGGAGAGAAGTGTGAAGAAGTAGGGTTATAGGTGAAAGGTGGGTGTGGTGAAGTGAGGCGGTTTACTCGCTGGATATCTCAGAGTACTGTAAGAATGACATGCATAGGTTTTTTATAACCTTGCCTAAAAGTTAATTATTATGGGACAAACTGACAGCTGCATGTTCTTCAGGCGGATTTTTGTGAATCTATTAGTAGAAACCGCTTCTAATTCTTAGATGAGGCACAATATGGGGTGGTTCCCTGCGGACGGTTGGGCGTATCAGACGGGATGAGTTTGGCGCGGTGCCAAACCCGTTCTCCACCAGTTGTTGAAGCGAGCAAATGATATGACTGTATCATATCGTTCGTATTACTCGTTTTCTACCACTTTTTGTCGCATGCGCGCTTCAACAAGAAGGCAGAGAACGGCTTTGACGGGGTGACACACTCATACTGCCTGACACGCCCAACCGTCTGCAGCGAACTGAAGTGTGTAAACTCCTTCTCTGAAGGAAAATCTTCAAAATACAATAAATGATCTAGGATAATTCAACTTTGCTGCACTTTCCTAAGCAATGGAGAGACGAAGGGGTGGCGAGTCTATGACAGAACCGCTATCTGTTACAAAGGGTTAGGAAGTTCTCTGAGGTATTGGCGGTTGTGAAGAGCCACGGGATCAGCACTGATTGAGTTCGGCACACCATAATGCTTCAATAACTTGTTGATCAACAAATTTCGCCAACTCAGCTATTTTCTTGTCAGCCAACTGATAACAATGGTCCGAGTATCGCCCCTTGGGCAACTTTGCACATGCCGTCGTAGCGAATGACCCTATGTCAGCCTGAATTATTTCATTTGAAAAATTAGAAAGTCGAGTTATCATTTCTTAGTGTCACCCTATTTCGGACTATTCTAACAATAATAACCTTGGCCGTTACCGCATAATTCTTCGCGTTTTCCAGCATCCGTTCACAAAATGCACACGTAATTCTCTTCTCCTCCTGAACAAACATATTGAAATTCTCTCAGAAAAATTCGTTCCTCCGATTCCTCGCTGCAAATGCTGGTTCGTGTGAGATGGGTTAGGTTTGGCGCAGCGCCAGCTTGTTTTCCACCAATCGTTGTCGCTTGCCTGCTGTAACATTTGGCGGAGAACAGGCTCGCGCCGCGCCACACTCAGCCCACCTGACACGCCCCATCATCCGTGGTGAACAAGGCTGTATACCAACGAAACGCGCCACGTACGTTCTTTCCATTGAGCTCGGCATTTCTGTGAGACAACATCCGGTCCAGCTTGCTTTTCTTTCTACTGATCACACTCTGAGAAGTAGTGATCTCGGATGCATTTTCTGGCACTCCAGCAGAAGTCGACGATGAGCTTGATGACTCCTCCTGTGGAGAGCTCGTGGACTATAAAGAACCTCTCATTGTGGGCAGTAAGTCTTGAGCAGTAACATTTTACGAAAGTTGTGTTGAGGAAGAAATGGGCGGAGACTCTGAACCTCTGTGCCCTCCTGGCGTGTCCATGAGGGTACAGGATCGTCGGGAGAGTCCCATCAGATAGTCGTTTTTTGTCGCTGGGAGGGGAATCGTATCTGCTTTCTGCTTTCAGGAAGAATTTTCCCGAAACGCGAGAAAATTCCTTCTAATTGTTGACTCTTCCCGATATTCCCTATATCTTTTTCGCCGCAGATGCTGGGGCGTGTCAAGGGAGTTGGCTTAGGAGCGGCGCCAACTTGTTTCCCACCAATCGTTGTAGCTTGTTTGCTTCGATAGTTGGTAGAGAACAGGATGGCGCTGCGCCAAGTCCGCCCCCTCCCCCCCCCTCTCCCTCCCCCGACACGTCTCACCAACCGCAGCGAACAAGACCGTATCTTCTACTAGATGAAGAAATCATGAGAGGGGAGGAGATGAAGCTCATATTGACACCGCCATTCTACAGAGGATGATGATGTACCCTGGTGCTCACCGTCTTTACCACAACAGAAAAAATATGAGCACTAAAAGGGCACATTGGTTATACGTCTCCACCCATCCGTTTATCGTGGAATAGACCTCTGCTGCTGACGTAATGACAACCTACCGTAATCTCTTCATACTACCTTAGGTTCAGTGCGATACACAATATAGTCCTTCGTAGAGCAAGTCATAATTCAACGAGAAGTAGATCTCAGTAGGCGAATGACTCACAAAAGTAAGCCGATGCTCCTAAACACTACTGTTCTCAGTTTTTCGCCGAAAACGAAAAAAAAACAATTGAGAATTGGAAAAAATTAAGGGGATGATCAACAATTTTTTGGGCGAAGTTGAACCATCCGCCGCCAAAATCTTCGCATGGACGCAAGTCATCTTACAGGTAAACTGTCTAAGCACCAACACTTCTGCTTTTCAGTTTCACTTATCTCGCAATATCTCTCAAAATTCAGCTGATGTTGATCTTCGAGAGTGACCTTCCTTACCAGTTCTGACTTCCAGAACAGATTTTCCTCTACCTCAGTCACCTTACATCTAGTCATGATCTCAACTAATATAGGGCCATGTGGAATGGCATGACACCTTTTCCATAGCCACTTCTGCTTGTGGTACTCAAGATGGCGTCATTGGTGGAAAGCTGGCGTGGGCGGCGCTGTAATCTCACGCCTCGTCACCGCCATTATCGTCTCAGGATGCATATGATTGTAACCGGGGGTGATCGCGGGCAATTTCATCCTATAACCCATTCTATTGCACGTTGATACGGCATGTATTTTCACAACGTTTCAGGTTTTGCAGCACCTTTTTCTATGGAAATAGCGCAGAGTAATTGAAGGTTGTGTCATGAATGTATTGACCCTGGCGCAATACAATCGCTACGAGGCCGACGAGTTAATGCTGGCGAGAAAAACTGCTATATAGCCCATTCGATTCGACAATGTGGGAGCTTTTTGTCATTCGGGAGCAGGGTTGAGGAAATTGCGCCGGGTTTTTTTTAGTGCAGTCCCACGATCCCCTGGATTTCTATAAGTGAAGCTTCCAGTAGAAGTTTGCCTCCATTCTATTCCCACAATGTTCCATGCCGCTATTTGAAACTTACCTTCAAGACAGTTGGGAGAACACGGCATTTGTCGTACAATACGGTCCTCAGCTGATTTTGGCTCAGTCCAACACGATGCTTCGTTACTGACAGCAACTGAGAACAGAAGAAACACGCCAAGTTGGGCGACGATGGGGCAGCTGGCGTGGTACTGAAAGAGATGCGAAAATATGTTGAAAAACTGAGTCGAGGACTGTTTAGTTGTTCGTTTCTATTTTCTTTACAGAAGGAAACCAGTGAATAATGCTGCGGGATCGTTAGAGATATTCCTAGTAGAAACAGCTACAAAATAAAGTGATATAATTTTGAGAAGGTTCCAAAAACTGCAAGAATGAGATCGAGAGGATGGATAGGCTCTGGTTGGAAAGGAATGGTGAGACCGTAAAAGAGAAGACAGAGGAAAAATCTCTCGGCTAGTCGCACTGGCACTGTTTGAGGTGATATGGGGGAACGAGTAAGGCTACACTGCTTGCAGATGGATGCTCAAAAAGTGCCGGTCTTGTTGGAGCAGAGCACGCCCTACCGTCTGGATAAGTTTTTTGCAAAATACCACCCCTCAGAATACCTCCCTCTGGTACGAACCTCTCTCCAGCACCCATCCTAACTGCCATCTTCCTAGATTTTCTTTTTCTCTAGCTTTTTTAGAGTTTTTCCCTGAAACTGCTCTCCTTTTCCCCTCAAAAAAACCGCCTTCGAGCGACGGGGTGGGAAGGAGTGGTAGGGGGGATACAGCGCACCTGAATCAGGGACAACCGAGAAACGCCAACCACCGAACATATTTTCCTCAGCAGCGAATACGACCTCCTCCTACCAGCGACCAAATACGACCCCCTCACTGGGGATCCCCAACGTGCGACGGAACCCTTCCTCAGGGAGGTATCGAATAAGGGCCTTCTATAACGTTCAACTTGGTATAACCCGAGCACGTCAATCTAGACTTACCGTTCTTCGATGAAATTGAAGTTGCTCGATGAACTCCATCCAAAATAGCCGCTAGTGACGTCAATCAGCAAGAACACGATCACTGAAAAATCTGATTAGTTGAACACTTTGTCACTGAAAAGCCATGAGTTTTAGATTTTTGGAGAAGTTTCAAGATTATAACCCTAATGTTTTCATGGGTAAGTAACATTGGGGATGTGAACTCGAGCGCTCAAAGGAAGGAATTCATGGCCGCTGAATTACTGGCAAGAGCAGGCATGAAGCACAAACCGCAGGTAAGACTCTTTCACACCGTTGCTTTGAAGTTACAAACCAAAGACGGTCTCGGATGCTTTTTCCAGCATAGTAGTCCGAATACTTCGTCAGCTGACTTTAACTTTTGAACCTGTTATCATGTTGGTGTTGTGAAGTTTGGTCCTTAATATAGCAAAAGACGGTGCAGTGCAAATTGCTAGTGGGTCTCTTCCTTGTACACGGAGGCCTGTTCGCATCCTCAGAAAATGTTCCGTTTTCGTGGGACCACAAAGGGCAGGGAAACGCTGCGCTCATCATAAGCCGGTCGAACCCCCTCCGCAGCAAAACTCATACGTTACGTCAAGCGGGAAACGGCAATCTATGTGACTACTCTGCAGTCAAATTAAGGTCGTAGAATTTGACGAGATGGCACAAAGACTTTGACAATTCGACGATTATGCGAGCGCATTTCGCGAATTCTCAAAATACATTTTATGGCAGCCTTTGAAAACATCACAGCAGGAGTTGAATATGTAGTCTGACAGAAAAATGCTTTAAAAATCCCGAGACGATGCGACCCTTTTCACTCTCCACAATTTACATGTCCTTTCTATAGCCTAAACCCAACATATAACTCGCCTAGTCACCCTAAAGTCTCTCTCGAATAGTGGGTAACCAGCGCAATGACTGCTTACCGAAAGAGTGATTACCACCGCTTTCAGAACTGCATTTTTGGAAGGCTCAGCAGCAAAGCCCTTGGAAAGTGAAACTGTCTACATAATCGTCCCGTGAATACCTTGCACAGCCTTGCTTTCAAGCGACGCGATACGCAATTGTCATAGAATCCCTATTACGCAGCTCAAGCATACAATTACACACCACTTCTGCGCCATCGGTACAACGACATCTCGTCCACGACGAGTCAAAGTTCTCATTTCAGACACGTGAAAACTCCACTAGAAAATTGGAGAGCAAAACTAAAAAAGACAGGCTTTAACACGTTCCGGACCGCGTGACACACATGGTGTGTCATACTTTTTTCTCTGTGCGCCGTTTCATACGGTCTGCTTGGCATCTTATTCATGCTCCGAAGGTATCAGAACACGTTT